CCCAACGACGAGGCATTTTGGAGCCGCACCAAATTGGCTGAGAATTTACAATTTACTGAAGATGACGATAAAATGATTCCACTTGTTATTGTGGGGGAGCATATGCGCATACGGCTGAAGGGTGTGAACATTTACGAAACGGGCGGCTTTGTGTTTGACTTCGTCGACCACAGTACAACCCATGAACCAGTTGAAGACTCTCTGGACTATCCGGAAGTCAACCAAAATAACACTTATCAATACAAATACTGTGAAATTATGGCCTCCGTTGCTCTGGCGCAAGGAACGGTCTGTCCCGAGGTCTGGGACTCGACTGCCTCCTTCGTGTACTTTGACAATATTATTCTGGAGCTGATGCTATCATACATGGAACTTCCTGGTGGAATTCGCGTTCCCTTCAGTAAACCCCTTGACCCTGTTGACTTCAGAGAGACGAGAGGACTGCGCATCAAAGCGATCTCGGGAAGTTGGAGTGCAAGCCTCAGCAGAGGCGTAGGTTACTTGGTAAGAACAGGTTGTGTAGCATATGTATGTTAAGTATACTTACATAACTACTTTATGCGTTTTAGCAAGCGTAATACAGTCCCAACCGAACCGGTGGTCACACGCAAGGGATTGCAAAAATATGAGTGATAGGAAGCGCTATCGGCAAACGGCTAGCTAGTCTTCGTTGATAAAGAAGTCGGCTCATCTGACCAACCTAAGCACAATAAGGAACTATTGCAACTGTATAGGTATTTTTAGTTTAAAGGATACCCAGCAGGCTTGCGTAACACTTTGCCTCACACATCAGAGAAAAGCAAAAAACTTCTTTCCTAATGGAACATTATATTTGCAGGTAGAGAAGATATTATCACATAACTAAAGTTTCATTAGGAATAAAGTTTATTGGTTTTCTCTGCCGTGTGAGGCAACTGTCTACTAAGCCTGTTGAGTATCCATTTAACCAGAAAACCCTATGTAGGTTCGATAGTTCTTTCTTAGGCAAGACCTCACTAATGCAATAGCGGAAGGCCCGTTGGAAGCGTGAACGAACACAGCTCCTTTTGTGGATCACAGGGTGGTTACTCCCATAGTTGAGGATGATTTAAGCAGTGGAATTTCTTCGGTGGACGCTTGTTGCGAGTCTGCCAGCACATAGTATGTAATCCTTACGTCCAGGAATAAAAAAATGTCACCTATTGCCTCTTTTCGAGTAACTTTTACGCCTAGGAAGACACTTTTCGGACTATGATGAAATTTTTAAACGTCGTACGTCTTTAAGATAACAATTGTGTCATTTACCTAGTGGATACTAGTTCGGCAAGTAGCCCCAATAATGGCCAGCCTATTGGTGTGCCTCTCATTTTTTGAAAGTATTTGTCAGCGAACTCTTTTGGAAAGTCAATAGGATTATCGTCCAAGCACCGCACAGTGCTATCAATGGCAAAGTCGTATGATCTAGAGGAATATGGGGAAACAGCAAATTTGCATGGGACCAGACTTGCATTATTTGTTCTTGCTCATCTAAGAAAGGCCGTGCACTTTTAGAGGACATTAACTTCGATGACTCGTGCATAAATCGGCACGTCGAATTCGATGCCGTGTACACCAATCTCAGGGCAGCATGGAAAAAACGGCAGCTAAACTTGATTAGATACTAACCATCAGAAACTGTTATTGACCGACCATGACTAGACATGAATGAAAACATTTGCCTTCCAGGCATTTGCATGGAAAAGGAAGAAGGATTGTCGAGCACCGGATCAATTTGCTTATTGTCATGAGCTTTCGATCTATTACAGGAGTCCATCGTCAGAGATGAGGCACAGCAACAAAAAGGAAACGAATTCAAGTGTGCGTAAACCAATCAACTGTCAGGCGTCGTCAGGTCGTAAGAGGTAAAAAAACATTAACAAAAAAGTTCGGGAGAGGGTGCAATTAAATAGATGAACGTTAATTACTCGATATTGTTAATTTTTTCAGACATCTTTGAAACTTCCACTGTTCTGTGCAATCTATGCACGTCTGACGATGACCTCGTGAACCAGTGTCGAAAATTATTTTATTGTTCTTTAAGTAACTTCTTCCATCGAAATACACATTTAGGAAGAGGAGAATTCCTTGTGGAATGTCGAAAATCTAAGGCGTGCATTTTCACGGCCGGTCCCCCAGTTAGTCTTCAGACTATGGGATGTGTGCAGGAACCGTTAATTTAATTACCCATGTGTAAAATTATTTTATAATTGGCTGGAGTCTGATCGAATTGGCATTACATATATTTCATCATCCTGCCGTATTTGGCCACGCCACTTGCACTTTGCCCAAGAACTGTTTCTCTTCCTTGACGAACCGTGTTGAACCAAGTCTTGGGCAGCGCAGCAACTCTCGTGAGGCGGACGAGGGTGAGCGTGCCCAAACCACCTCAGCCGTCTTTCTTGGATGACCTGAGATCTCCTTGTGATACGATCGCAGCGAGTGCGGACTGTTTCATTTGAGACCAAGTCGGTATACTTCACTCGAAAGATGGTGATCAGGCAGCGGTGGTCAAATACCTCCAGCATTCGCTCGTCTTCCACGTGCAAAGCTCAGCATTCACACCTATAAAGGAAGACGGAACGGACGGGTGCACGGTACACACGGATCCTTGTGGCGATGGAAATGTCGTGCCTGATCCATAGACGCTTTCTGAGGATTGAGAAAACCCGATTAGCAGCATCGAGTCAGGAGACTGTCGTCTTTACTCTGTCTACTTCGTAGCAGCCTCGCCTCGAGGTATTTAAAGCTGTTTACTTCATCAAACTGACGACCAATAATCCCCAGGGGATGCCTTCTCCTGGTCAGGGATGCAGCTTAAGAATAAGTTTATCTTCCTGGTATTGATGGACAAGTCCACCGACGCAGCGACCTCATTCACCCGTGACACTACAGACTGTAGCTCGCCAATGCTTGAAGCTCGTACAGCGATATCAACGGCGTCGTCGATATCAGTCTGTTGGCATTGAGGTGCAAGCTCAACAACGTCTCCTTCACGTAGAGCCTTCCCAAAAATCCGGTCAATAAAGTAATAGAATAGAATGGGTGACAGGGCATATGCCTATCGAACGCAAGGCCCAATAGCGAACGATTCTGAGAGGTTGTTATGGACCAGAGCCCTAATATAGGCGTGAGGGGCAGTTATAAGGGGTTCGAGCTAACTCAGTTTAGCTCTTTGACGCTTTGACGTTGGATTTATTCAACAACTGTTTTTGATATTTTATAGTCAGGCGAGCATGGCCGTTCCCTACACTCTTCTTCTTCGAGACGTCTATTGGCATTAAGGAATGTAATAAATCTCATTCGTACTGTTCGATTACTTGTTTGCCCTCCTCCTGTTGTTATGTTGATATTGACAGCAGTCTAGGCAGCATCAGGCAGGAGTTGAAAACTCCTGCAAGGAAAGTTAACTCATTTATTATGTGTTACCTTAGTTAGGAATGGCCCACTTGCTTCAAAATTGTAGTTTTTTAAGTTTTGACGCTGAAAAAGTGCTCAAACTACGATTTGTCTTTCATTTCTGCTTTTTAGAATGAACGTTATCCACAGAAGCAAACTATCGATTCTATCTACTACGAAACGCCAACAAGAGCGGAGGACTTATTGGAAAGAATGGTCCCGCGAGGTGAGATACCTGAACCTCGTGTGCAGCTTAGCGAGTGTGATCAAAACTCCGCCCTAACCAGACACCAAACCAGTATCTGTCACAATCTGCCACGCAGTTGTTTTGATGACGCAAGGCAGAAACAGTACAAAATCAAGGTGCTCCATGATGTCTCCTATCTCCCTATTTCCACTAAGCCTGCCTCCAGCCTGATCACAGTGGATTCTCTGCTGCGGTTATCTGATTTTGACGGACCCTACTATGAATTTGTGTTCCTGGTCAAGGAAGTCAAGACCGAGCAGGGATACTATATTAACGTCTTGCGTATCCTTTGGGAAAAGGGAAGAGTGTAAGTTGTAGAAATGAATCTTGCACTATGCACCTTTGGAAAGCTATAGGACTGCGCCATCGCCACAGCATCGGTGGCCTTTACGCTAGCCTCTTCATTCTCGTAAGGGTTCCTGTGCTCCTGAACTTGCATATCGGCGTATAAATAGCGTTTTCTAATTTTTTTGAAATTACTGACGGTCGATGGTACATAAGACTCTATGCTCTTAAGTAGATTCACGGTGTGGCTGTCTTATGAGATTGCTTAATGGTTCCTCTGCCCAATTTTCGTACACAAATCGTGATTAAAGGTTTAATGCTTGATTAAGGTGTAGATAATGCGTGTTTATTGCGCGGAGATTGAACAGTAGAAACCAAAGTAAAGTGGCTTTTCATTGTTTTAGTGAGCTAAATATGCCTGTGATAAGTAACAGGAGAGAATCAAATTGACTACCATTAACTTTTATTGGAAAGGATACCTATTGACCAATAAGATTACTAGCCATTAGCAATTTCTGGCTTATTATCCGTCGTTAGATAGTCATATCTAGACCCAAGTAGTGTAACACCGAGCCTCAAAATCGCGACCTCCCTGATCAGAGTCAAATGCCCTAACCATCGAGCTACGAGTTCGTTGTCTTGCCGTTATTTGATCGGAGATATACAGTGGCAGATACGCGTGCACCGATCTGTTAGAGGACTCATTCGTACGCCCATGGAGCTCACACTCGAACCTACACCGCAAGACGGCTAAGGATATAGGCAAAGAGGTCGTGAGTTCGAGGCTCGAGCGTGACATCGCCTGAGTCTGGGTATGACTAGCTGACGACGGCTGATAAGCCAGAAATGGCCATCCTAGTCTGCCTTGTCTTTGTTGGTTATGTCCTTTGGTGACGAATACCTCGCGTATTCTGAGTTACCTCAGTAAGCATCACGTCTCCCGCAACGCAGCTGTATGCAAACGTTGTATTGCCGCGTAGAAATGCACTGCATCGAACCAGCCGACAAGAAAGCTGAGGTCCAGTATCTGTGGAAAAGTTTCACAATTAATGGATATCCTGGCGCATTCTTCGAAAAATGTAGGCGGTGAGCCAAACGAAGGAAACTAATGGGGCAGCCAGAACCGAAACGCTGGCGAGCAATGTCTTATATTGTTGGTGTATCCGAAACATGCGCTCGATTAGTCAGCGAATTCAGCATTGGTTTCGCTCACCGACTGGAAGCGACAATCCGCAGGCAGCTCATGCAACCTAAAGGCCTAATATCCATCAATCAGAAATCCGGTGTCATTTACCGAAGCGACTGTCTTTGCGATCAAGCCAATTTTGTTGGTGAAACAGCCAAACGGGTTGCCACTGAACCGTACGAGCACGAATTTGCACTGCGATGGAAAGACAAGCTTTCTTTGGTAGTCGCTCACACATCCACGCTAGGGCACGGCTTTGACTTTGAACACGTACGAATACTGGGTCAGTCGGACGAGCGAACTTAACGCCTGTTGCAGGAAATCAGGCAGAATATAGATATGTATGTTTTCAATGGTCGAAAATTTGCGAGGCCCAGGTACTTGAATAAAAGGCGGAAGATCTTTCTCTGGGACCAGTATTTTATTTGCCCGATGTTTCGGACCCTCACTCGAGGCCATTGTCAAGGAATGAAAACGTACAGCTCACTGCGTGATTAAGTCAGCTCTGCCGGGGGTGACCTTGAGTTCCCACTGTTCGCTCCGCCGCGAGTGACCTTGAGCCCTGCCACTGTATGCAATGGTCGATAGACGTTACTGAGCTATCTCGTCCCGTTTAGCCTTGGAGCTGGCTGTCGAACCCAGCCAGTAGCCTCTCCATGGCCAATGCTTCTTTCTTGTCTGGAATTAACTTATCTTAATTATAAGTATCTACATGCTCTGCTGTCTCACTGTATGCTCCCTTTTAAAATGCACATTTATACCTAGGCGATTAATTACCCTCGACAAAGGTCCGAAATCAGAACTGACCTTGCCGCTTCCGGGGCTAGTCGATGAGATCCAACAGTCTCGGATGGACATTCTGTTGTCACAAGGCATGCGGAATATCACTGTGTCGTTTCGACTCAACAACGCTCGTAGGGTCACCGACAATATCTTGATAACGCCCCCGGAAAAGGGAAGCATCGAATTGCATTACAGGGTAGGACTGTTTAAAAGTAGCCAAACGTATTTGATTACGAAAAATTACTTGTTTTAAATTTCTTCCACTGAACCACATTTTATGGAATCCATTCTTG